TACTTCAAGGATATGTACTTCTTCTATTTACCTCTATCCACTACCGCTTGATGTATGGTGAGTTTAAGATAGTACATGTTTCTCCTAAATCACTTTTATAGCTCCTCAATTGATCTATCTGTATCATCTTTTGCTTTTCTTCCATCCATCCTCTACACTGCATCTAGAGTTCACTTCTATATACTTATAATAAAGCTAGAAGTCTAATAGTATTGACCATAATGCCCTGCATGATGCAGCTCCTATCAACTTTTCTGGATGTATGGAGACTTCTCATTCACTGTCTTTCTACAAGCATGCCAACTTTGACTTCAGCACACCCACTCATACAGTTTCTGCTATGGAATATTTGCCCTATTCTCTTCTTTGCTCATCAATTAGATTTTAGTTTAGATACCATTTCCTCAGGAAAATCTTCTCTGCCATTCTAGGTCAGATCAGGCAGCAACCTAACACAGTGCATTGGTGTTTTTGTTTGTTTTTGTTTTTGTTTTTAGTCCGGTCATGGGGCCTGAACTCTGGGCCTGGGCACTGTCCCTCAGCTCTTCAGCTCAAGGGTAGCGCTCTATCACTTGAGCCACAGCACCACTTCCATTTTTTTTTCTTTTTTGCTTATGTGGTGCTGAGGAATCAAACCCACGGCCTCATGCATGCAAGGCAAGTGCTCTACCATGGAGCCACCTTCCCAGCCCTAACACAGTGCATTGTACAATCTCTTTTCCTCCTCTATGTTTATATATGATTTAATCAATAAATACTTGATGTTAGCATGAGTTGGATATGTAAAATTGCTCAATTTATTCTTCAAAATAGCCTCACTTACACCCATCGTGAGCATTTCTTTTCCTCCTCCCCATGTATTCCATATTTTTAAATTTTATCTTCTATAAAATGGCATATTCCCAAAGTAAGAATAAAGAAGTATAGGAGTGTATCCTTCAAGTTTGCAATCCTTTCACTCATAATTTCATGTTGGCATTTTACAGCACTTTACAGTCTGTGCTTAACTCTGTAGTAACTATTAGGAGGCATAAATTTTTCAGAAGTATGTATGCTTCTGATTACTTGATTCATTCTATGTGACTAGAGGAAGATTCTCTAGTCAGCAATTATTTCTTTTTTAATGTCATAGTATTTATTTTTATCATACAAATGGATTTGCTGTGTTCACTTAAATCACTATACAATTTAAAATAAGAAGACTATTATCATCTAAAAGGTGTTATTTGTGAGGTGAAGAGGAGGGATAACAACTATGCTTAGGAAGGAATGACAGTAAGTGTGAACATTAAATCAAGTATCAGAACTGGGATTTGCACTATGGGTGACAATCCATCCATACTTCTGCCTCTTCCTTTCATCCATGCAAATTAAAGCTGCAGGAGCTGTCTTTGTATACACTTCCCCCAAGTCTGTTAGGCTGTCTTGCTAAATCTATAAAATGAAGGAGGTGGCACAACTCTTATTTGATTTGAGTTGTTGGACATAGGGAAGTAATCACCTAGAGAGCACAACTGTTGTTTGCATACTGGGAGTGTTACAGTGAGGATGGCTTTGAAATACATGTTCTGTGCTCCCAAAGCAAAACATAGTAAAAAAAAAGAGAACTAAACTAGAAGTACAAAGACTTGCAGTATAATTTTGAATCTGTCCTGTGTAATTTTGAATGCCTCACAAATCTCTCTGGGCTCTTGCTCTGTTTTGTAAAACAGAGTTCATCATATCCTATTTATTATTCATACGATTGCTGTGATGATCAAATGAGGAAAGCACCAAATGTAAGTTGCATTTAAAAATATCCTAGTCAGGAGAAGAGAAAAGGCTATTTGGCACTTAAGACATCTGATCTCACTCTCCCTTGGCTGTCACCATCTTTGGCCATAGACAGTTTGTATAGGTTAATACAGCTTACAACTAGTAAAACAAATGCACTAATCACTTTACAAATGGGGAGAGAATAAAACCTGGGATATTAGAAGATAGGGGAAATAATGAGACTGCAAGATGATTAGTCCCACAAATTTATAGTTGTTACAATTTATGCTGGGATGAAGAAAATAATGTACTGCTCTTTACATTCATCAGACAATAGATATTTGGTATCAGAAAAGAAAACATTCAGCATTTATTGTTCAGAACTCAAAATGACATGCTAAGTATTAATGCAAACATTAAGTTTTTATACAATATGAATACATTTCAAATATAAAATGAGATCAAACAAAAGATATGCATTTTTCTTCCATACAATTATTAATTTTTGCTAAAAATTCTTTTGTATAAATTCAGGTGAGTAAAATGTATAACTAAATATACCATTTAAATGCACTAAATGCACCCAATTATACCTACTTAAAAGTATGACAGGATCTGCAGTGGTCAAACTCACTTATTAGTCCCAAGCTTCAGATTTGGCATGGATAGAAAAGTTAGGCTAGATGAACCCATCTTTCCTTGTTTAAATTAACATTTGCTACCTAATATATGGTACACAAGCTTTTTATGATACACCTTGTTTTATACAACCCATGTTTCTGAAATGTATGTAACATATAGTATTAGAACTTAAGTTATGTTAAAACCTTATTGAAAGTTTATCATTTAAAGAGTTCACTGGATAAGTTTTTGTTAGGACAAATTATTTAAAATTGCTGATACTTGAGATTTTGGAGTTACAAAAACATCAGTGTCATATGGTTCAATGACATGTAAAGAATATTTTTTTTGTGTTGAAACAGAGGATGCCTACACCTACCTATTTATAATCAGCTAACGTACAAATTGAACGAGAATTTGGTAGAGGATTTTGAACAGAATAATAAACTTATATTGTACCTACTATATACTTTAGCTGACTCTGAGCAATAGTGTCTGTTAATTAATTATGTGATACAATATAATATAAATTAGAAATTCATTTCTTTATAGTAAGTTTGCTATTATGAAAACATTCAGTTTATTTTCCTTAAGATTAAATATCACATGTGTCACCATAGTTACACTTCTGCCTAAATGAATCTCTAATGTTACCAGTGGAAATTGGGGTTAGCTATTTTAGTGTAATCTGTATTGTGTGCTTTGGTTGATGCTAAAGATCTGGATCCCATGGGATAGTTGTGATGAAAGAGGGTAATTATTTTCCCTGTGAGTAACCTGATCATAAATTAAGAATCTTCATTTAAGTCAGTGCTTATAAGCAGTTTTAATCTCCTGCAATTGGAGTTGGGGAGGCCAGGTGCATAGGGAATAGATCTGTAGGCTTTGTCTTCATCAGATTTACCAATAGTACACTGATTATCTTGCTATTTACTGCTGTTGAATGTATTACTAGTTGTTCATTTATCTAGCCACTAACTTCTCAACTGTAAAGTGCATTCAAATACTGTGAGCATAAAAAGGCAAATTTGGAATGAGGGGAGATATGTGTCATTAGATTCTGAAGTATAGCTCCAGCATTTGATGAATTCTATGTGTAGCTGTCAAGAGTTAAAATTTTAAGTGGATTCTGGAAATTGAATAAAGATACAACTTAATCCATAAAGATGTAATGAGTCACTTTGCATTTTGGAAAATATAAGCCCCAAGGGAGTAGTATGCATATCTCTGTTTTAGTCTACTTGCTCATTTGTTCAGAATGATGCAGAATGAGGTTGCCATCTCTGACTGCACAGTTGTAACAGGTGTGGCAGAGTCAGCCTTGCTGCAAAATTTAGCTTTGCCTGTGGGGATTTCACACTTTGCAGCCCCTTGGAGAAGGGATCATTGACAAATGACTGTATAAAAGTGGAAAGCACTTGAGAATTTCACTACCAAGCTAGATTTAGATCACAGTAAAGGGGCCAATCTAAATTGGTCACAGACTATGGAGAAGTACATGTCTGGAGGAGATGGCATGAACTTCACATCAATTCTGTTTCTCGGTTACCACCACTGAATTTCCTGAGGGAGTGCTTTGTGAAACCTAATGATCATATTTTAGATTGACTTTTTTGAGCAGGTAAAATCTCTCACAGATATTTACCACCACAGTTTTCTGGTGGCAAAATATGACCAGCTTTGTGTTTTTTGATTTGTAAATGGTAACTCATATACTTTGGTTTCCTTTTGGAAAGTTAATTTTAAAAAACTCAAATTTTCCACTACTGACATACTGGGATACTTATGAGGATAGAAGTTTTCAGAATATATTTCTCCTATAGTTAAGTGAAACACTTCATCCTTTGGCAGGGATCAGGAAAGGAAGAACATTGTCTGGGAAGACAAATGTGACATTTGAGGACACTGATCTCAAAAAGGATTCGTTGGATTTATTTAGTCCTTTCTCCTTTGTCTGTCTTTGTTTTTCTTGTATTCATATGTAAAATGAGCCTGGTGATGGCTGAACAGCACTCTGATCATTTTTCAGCCAGGAAAACATGGGACCCAGAAAGCTGGAATGTTTTGTCCAAAGCCACAATCATTCAGTGACAGACAGAATACCAAGATTATGTCATTTCTCCTTTAGAGCACGTTTGGGTTTTCTTTGCCAAGGCCAGCTTTAAACAAAGTTTATATTTGTATGCAACATAGTCTGGAGTGAGATAGGGAGGGAGAAAAAGGCAAAGAAGCTGCATATATAATATAGAGTTCTTTACGAGAACACTTTGACTTAATTTTTCCTTGATTTGAAGACAACTCATCGTTCCAGATTTCAGTAATACATCTGCAATTATCTGTTTTATACAGTCCAGTAATAATAATAACAGATATACTATGCACATTTTTCTCACTAGATGAATTTATTTACTAGAAATTTCTTTCTGAAGACTTGCTCTTTAATGGAAAAATTCTTTAAATCTCTTCTTTCATTTGAGACAAACCTGAAGGACTGACACAATCAAATTGCCTTTTGAGGGGCAGTTTAGTCTTTCCTTCTGTTTATCACTGACATGATCTAGCAGACCTCTACTTTAAGTCCGAAGTTATTCTTTAGGGCTCAAGTGATAAAACTTGTCTTTTCCTTGGAATCCCCTCTTGGAACACTCATAACTTTCAATGTCAAATTCTCTTTGTTTGTTCTTGAGGCTTCCAGGGATCTTGTATTTTCCACAACAGCTGAATATGAATTTCTGTGGTCTGAGCTTTGTTGATGGCCTAGGAGCTCTGTGGTTACTATGGAAACCTGTCCTCCCAACAAGCTGCCATTTCCCATATTCCCTTCAAAAAATAAGTCTTAAAGCTCTTACATGTCCCACAAGCATAATGAAAATGAAGAATAACACAAAGAAAACATGAACAGCTTGTTATTCCTTTGGAAGCTTCATATAAGAAAGCAAAGTTTCTTGGGCACCAACAGGTTAAGTGTTCACTGAGATCTATTAAAGCTTGCCTACATTGTGGCTTTAAGGAGTGGGAATTCGACTCTGCATCTCTACATCTGTGAATTGAGGAACACTTTCTGTGCTCTCGGTGGTGATGGGCGAGATGACATGTTTGAGCCGAAGGAGCATTGTGAAGAGTAAGATAAGGAGAATAGCCAGAAGACTCAGGAATAAGCCCACATACATATATAGGTTAGAATACTTGTCTGCAGTGGTATCAACCTCTGTTGCCAGAGTGGGAAAATGGGCCCGACCAGTGAGATTTCCATGGTACTTAACATGCACCTCCGTCATCCCTCAAGATTAATTGATACCTACTTCTGATTGGTTTCTATTGCCCTCGAGTCATTCCACAGTCACTTAATCTGTCTTAAATACACTGGGAGTCTTTTAAAAATCTGATGCAAAAAAATCACTCTTGGAGCAAAATCAGTAGGGCACAAGCAAGGTAACAGAAAAGTTTTACTTTGGCAATTGCCACCTTGCTCTGTCCTCTGGCACAGCAAGCAGCTCCCTCCCAAACAGGTTATATCAGAACTTCTTAACCTTAAGAAAAGTAAATAAAACTTTATTTTTCACACTCCCAATATTACACTCATTAAAATAACTGGTGAAACTGCTTAATAATACTGGTATGGAAACAATAATCTTAGAGTATTCTATCAGAGTTGCTCTATTTTGATATAAAGAGAAAAGGCTTGCCTTTATCCACAGCTCATCTAAATATGTGGACTACTTACATGGATTTAATTGGGTTTTTCTCTGAGGAGACCTTGAAAATGCTATTGGATAATTCTGGCTGAGCATATCTGAGTTTTTACCCTTCTTGTCTCTCTGAATCTTCCCTGAGGACAGAAATCTTAATATTCCTGTCTAGCTGCCCAGCTTGAAGATTTTAAGTCTAGAAGGTATGAACTTTCTACAGCTTGATTGACATCCCCTCACTGTAGACTGGAGTGAAAGTGTTGGCAGACCTGGTAATTCTCAGATGGAAGAGGTCTCAGAGATGATTCCAGCAGTGGGTTAAGGTTCAGAAGATTTGGCTGTTAGGATTCTTCAACAGATTTATTCTCCTGGAAATTGAAAAAAAAATCAGGCATCTAAGAAAAACAAGTGGCAATTTATTCTGATTCACTGAAAGAAATGGTTTGCTATTGGCAAACAAGTATAAAAAATCACGTTTCTATTCCATAATTTCCATTGGTTTTGTTCTATTCAGGAAATAACTATTAAAGGGTTACAAAATCAGAATACTATACAGAAGCCACCTTCCCAGCCCTGTAAAACAGAATCTTATCTTTATTGTCAGAATTACTCCACTGTGTAAGTCGGGTCAATTATTTAGGTTAAAAGTTTAATTTTCTGGGGCTGGGAAGGTGGCTCAGTGGTAGAGCACTTGCCTTGCATGCCTGAGGCCCTGGGTTCGATTCCTCAGCACCATATAAGCAAAAAGAAAAACAGCCGGAAGTGGCGCTGTGGCTCAAATGGTAGAGCGCTAGCCTTAAGCTGAAGAGCTGAAGGACAGCGCCCAGGCCCAGAGTTCAGGCCCTACGACCGGACCCAAAAAAAAAAAAAAAAAGTTTAATTTTCGTAAAATGATTCAGCCTGCCATATGAAGAATTAATATTAAATATGGGTGAACAAAAAAAGATATGAATAACCATCACCTGTCATACTTCTATGTGCAATAGTAGTATATTGCTGAAAATATAACCCAATTCTGTCTCTTAACAAACCCAAGGAGAGTTAATAGAAATAGCTCTTTCTATCATCCCTAGACTGGGAACACTTCAGGTGAAGTTTATATTCCCTAGCTTACATTATTATGTTTTCTGTAATCTGTGTATTTTTTAGGCTGTATACTTACTGTCTTCTATCTATCATGCAGAGCAATCAGGTTTATAAGAAATAAAAACAAAGAGAGAAGATCTTTTTTATTTCACTATCTTTGGAATATTGACCTAAGAAACATTGTTGCTATTCTTAGAGGTATATCAGTTTTGAAATATGCGTTCTATATTTTGTGTGTTTGTGTGCCAGCGCTGGAGTTTGAACTCAGGGCTTGCACACTGTCCCTTAGCATTTTTGCTTAAGGCTGGCACTCTACCACCTGAGCTACAACAATACCTCTGGTAGGTTTTTTGGTGGTTGGAGATACGTCTATCAGGTTTGTCAGCCTGGGTTGACTTTGAACTCAATCCTCAGATCTCAGCCTCCTGAGGAGCTAGGATCATAGGCATGAGCCACTGACACCTGACTGACATATGCATTCTAAACACAAGCTTTTCAAGTGATTCTTTGCAGAGTGGACATTAAGAATTAACTATTGGGTTTTCTCTCTAGGTAGCTAATCTGTTGTGTTGATTGTTTGGAGGTTTTACTTTCTAAACAGTATTTTGAACAGTGTTAGAGGGTGAATTGTGATTCTCAAAAAGATAGGGTGATTTCTTTGCTGCCAGTACTGGTAAAAGTGACTTTTTTTGTTAATAAGGTCTTCTGAGGTGTAATCAACTTAAAATAAGGTCATTAGGTTGGCTGTCATCCAATGACCTGTGTTCCTATAATAAGAGAGAGATACACAGTGAGAAGATGGTATCAGAGATTGAGATGATTCAACCATTAGCCAAGGAATGCAAGGATTGGAGCAAACAGCTAATAGCAAAGAAGGATTCTGCCCTGCAGATTTTAGTGGGTATATGGCCCAATTGATAGCTTTATTCCAGATTTCTAGCCTCCAAAAGAGCCTAAGAGAACAAATTTCTGTTGATTTAACCTTTCCCAGTTTATGTCAATTGTAGGAAAGGAATCACAGGACAGATACAATGATCAGAGTCCTCTTGGAATAATGTTTCTCAGTGTGGTCTGAGGAAAGTCTCTTCATCAGAAGAATACTCTTGGAAATTGCCCATTAAAAAGCATGTTCCTTTCTCTTACTGCCTAGGTCAGAATATCTCGGGATAGGACCAGAAAATATTTGAAAGAAGTTACCCAGTTTAACTTTTTTTTTTTGCCAGTCATGGAGCTTGAACTCAGGGCCTGGGCACTGTCCCTCAGCTTCTTTTGCTCAAGGCCACTTGAACCAGATTGCCACTTCCAGGTTTTCTGTTTATATGGTACTGAGGAATCGAACCTAGGGCTTCATGCCTGCTAGGCAAGCACTCTACCACTAAGCCACATTACCAGTCCCTAGTTAAAAATGTTAAGCACATTCTTCCAGGAATATCTTTCCATCCTGGATGTAATTCAGTGTTTTGAATGTCTCTCTCCTCTCTCTTCTCTCTCTCCCCCTCCCTTTCTGCCCCCTCCCAATTTGTTCTTCCTGAAGAAGTTCTGAATCCTTATTCTGTCCATATGGAGCATGGACACATATCTGTATTGCTTAAAAACTCTACAGGCTAGCCGGGCACTCTACAGGCTCACACCTGTAATCCTAGCTACTCAGGAGGCTGAGAACTGAGGATCGAGGTTCAAAGCCAACCCAGGGCAGGAATGTCCATGAGACTCTTATCTCCAATTAACCACCAGGAAACTGGCTCAAGTGGTATAGCACTCACCTTGAGCTGAAGAGCTCAGGGACAGTACCCAGGCCCAGAGTTCAAGCCTCACAACTGACAAAATAACAAACCAAAATAAACAAAAAAAATTCTCATGCTGATTTTGAAAGGCAGCAGAGGGTTGAGAAGCACCACTTGATTCAAGAAAGTCCTAGGAAGCTCACAAGAGGCATTTGTGATTTGGCTGCTGCCTAGTTATTAAATATGTTTCATATATAGCTTGTTAGCCCTAGTGGCCTTCCTTCTCAACAGCTCACTACAGCTCCGTTCTTTCTTCTTCTTTTTATTTTGGTTGGTCCTGGGGCTTGAACTCAAGGCCTGGGTGCTGTCCCTGAGCCTCTCTGTGCTCAAGGCTAGTGCTCTGCCATTTTGAGTAACAGTGCCACTTCCCATTTTCTGGTGGTTAATTGGAGATAAGAGTCTCATGGACTTTCCTGCCTGGGCTGGCTTTGAAGTATGATAATCATATCTCAGCCTCGTGAGTAGCTAGGATTATAGGCGTGATCTACTGGCTCCCTGCTTTGCAGCTCCTTTCTTTAAGGAAAACACTGGCACATTGATAAGAGTTTAATAGATTTTTTTTACCTTTGTATTTCATGTTACTGAGATTTGAACTCAAGTGCTTGAACTTGCTAGTAGTCACTCTTGCCACTGAGCCACACCACCAGTCCTGATTTCTGCTTGTATTTTTTTGTGCTGTTCCTGGGGCTTGAACTCAGGCCTTTGTGCTCAAGGAACACTCTACCACTTGAGCCACAGCTCCATTTACAGCTTTTTGGTGGTTAATTGGAGATAAGAGTCTCATAGACTTTCCTACCAGGGCTCACTTCAAGCCACAATCTTTCAATGTCAGCATCCTGAGTAGCTAGGATTACAAGTATGAGGGACTGGTGCCCAGCTTCTGCTGGCTGTTTTTGAGATAGGATCACTTCATGCACCTGGGTGTAATCCACCTGTTCAGCTTTCCAGAAGCTAGAATAGCAGGTTCATACCACCATCTCCAGCTCTGTTGGGAAGCGATCTTGGGGACATTTTTTGTCTGTCTGGGCCGGCCTTGAATACTGATCCCAACAATTTCAGCCTCCTAAGTAGGTGTGAGGCACTGGCACCTGGCTCATAAATTACTTCATTTTCAGAACAGAAGTGGAAAAATAAACATTCATTGCTAATGTAAGCCCTGTGGGAGAAGACTCTACAGTACTGTATTATCTTTTATTCTCTCTGGATTTCAAACACACAGAATTGGATAAGTAATGAATTGGATAAATCATACTCCTTGGCACATTATTATTGGTAAAGTCAAGCCCTTTTATTTGTGTAATTAATAGTATAATAAACATCCATAGGCAAACACCTGTGACCAAATACCAATCAACTTTAAGAGTTAGAATAACAACATGAATACACACACACACACACACACACACACACACACACACACAATCCTTCCTATCTCCTATCTCCTTACCTACTTCTCTACAAAAGCAGGGTAAATACACATACATATATACCACACATATATGCCTGAATACTTAGTTTTGTTTTTATTTTAATTTTGTTTCTTGAAAAAGTATAAATCTGCCAGGCGCCGGTGGCTCACGCTTGCAATCCTAGCTATTCAGGAGGCTGAGATCTGAGGATCACAGTTCAAAGCCAGCCGGGGCAGGAAAGGCCTTGAGACTCTTATCTCCAATTAACCACCAGAAAACTGGAAGTGGTGCTGTGTGGCTCAAGTGGTAGAGTGCTCACCTTGAGCTGAAGAGCTGAGGGACAGTGCCCAGCCCCAGAGTTCAAGTCCCACCACTGACAACAAAAAAAAGTATAAAT